AAGTTTGTCACGCCGAATATGACAGATACGTATTAACTAATATCAAATTTTCCCTTGTCACAATATATATAATACTAGTTTGGCGCAGTATTCTAGTGTGTTTGCCGTAATATGTAAGTTTACCGGTTCGAATCTCAGGCTACTTTTTTTTTATTTTATCAATCACGGGGTTATTTTTTCATAACCAGTAAAAATTTGGTAATGTAAAATTTTGCTCGACAATTTTTTTTTATAATTTTCGCTGTCGGGTAGAAAGAAATTTAAATAAAGTTAACAACAATTAGGTCAGACCATCGCGGGTGAAGTGAGTGGGCGGAGCGTGGATTGTCTTTGCGGGTTTTAAGAATGGTACGCCCGGAAATTATACGTACAAGTGTTATCGACATATGTGTGCGCGCCCACGCACACTGGAATGTTTATTGCAATCGACCAAAAATTTGATGTAGTTTGGATATTGACATTCAGTTTTTTTCTTTGTTTCTTAAATATAATCAGTATCAGTAAAAGGTAAAAGTAAAAGTGTTATTTTTACCGATACAAGGTTAACAAACATGAGTAATAAACAAATTACATGCCAATAGCATCGCTTTATCTCCTTCATTTTTGTTTGAAATAGAAAAGTACTTTAACGGTCAAACTCATTAGTCCAAGGCAATATCAAAAAGTACCTTATAACTACGGCGATAGAGTTTAATTACATGTGCTTCGATATTAAAATTAAAAAGTTTAAATATCAAAAAAAAAATAGTGGCTTGGGATTTGAACCGCCGACCTTACGTACCAACAGCGGCGAACGGTAAGGCCACGAGACCAAACTAGCATATATGATGACAAACTTAAATTTGATGTTGGTTTTATCTACCTAATATCTGTCATCCGCGTCGAACACTTTTAGTAAATTTTGAAAAATGGTTTGATGCAAAGTGTCAAATGAATGTAACAGAAGTAGTTTATTCCAAATTGTATCACAAGTATATAGAGATAGAGTTCAATTTTGTCAAATGTACCGATATTTTTGCGCACCTTGACTGCTTCGTTACTTATGACGCTGTGGCTGCTACGATATTTATGAGCATCTTGCATGTACTCATATATTTGACGCTGTGTATGTACCGATGTATTTGAGCAGGGTGAATGTATCTATTATTTTGAGGACTTTTGTTGTACCGATATAATTGATTACTTTTGGTGTACCTATATATTTGCATATCTTGTCTGTGACGATCTATATGACGCTGACTGTACATATATTCGTCCAGTGGCGACACCGACTAGTTTCAAGCCCAATGGGGACTAACTCTCTCAGGGTGAGTGGGACTGGTATTATTTCTAATTATCACGGGCCGCGTCCGCGACGAAAGTTTAAATAATTTATTTGCGATCCATTAAAATAACAATATTTACAACACCGTGGTTAGGTATGACAATTTCACAAAAAAATTTGCATGTATCGAAAATAGGCGAAAAATGAACAAGGGTTGTGGTAAATCGTCATGCCACGATATGTCCATATTCTCACATACGCTTCAGAATGCTGGTAAATAAGAGCGAAGATGTTCGTATTGCGTAGCACCCTGCTAAGATAACAGTGAACTTCACTGGTATTCCTATTAAAGCATACAGATCCACCAGCACAGCCGCCTTGTTGGTTGTGGCTGGCGTCCTACCAGCAGATCTAGAGGGCAGCCGTGCTGGTGCAGTGAGCAAAGCGCATGCATACCTGACCTGTTTGGAGTTGAGTTGGCAGAAACTAATAATTTGTTAGTTAAATTAATTAAATTAAAGAGGCTGCACGATATGAATATGGGTGAATCAAGTATGTGTAAATGCGGTGAGGTCAAGGCGGATGCTCACCATGTTCTGTGGGGGTGTCCTCAGTATCTAGACCTGAGAATTAAGATGATGGATGGGATTGGTCACCGGGATGCCGGTCGGACTATCCGGATCTAATCAGCAACAGGGAGAACTATGGCTACATTGCGTAAATTCGCATATAATTGGTACCAACAAATATGTACGCTGGAGTGGATGTTCGACGGCGAAGATGTGTCGTCAAGCCTATTAGAGGTCCAGTGACTTTCACACCAAAGAAAAGGGCGAAATAACATACTAACTAACTAACGACGTAGGTGCGTGTGGAGCTGAAGTCGATCGAAACGCGCGCCCCTCCCGTGGTTCGGCTGATATATCGCCTGCTACTATTTTTTAAACAGGAAAGAATTTTTCATTCCGCGTAAATAAATTTTCCAAAAAACAACTCATAGCTCATATTTACTATGGGTTTCTGATACCATAAACTTAGTTTCAAACATATTGTTATCTCTTTTTTATCAAAGATAATGACAGGGATAACTACAACATATCGTACATATCGTAGATTTTGTTATCAGAAACCAAAAGTAAGTTGTGGATCTCTGTCAAACACTTAACCTCTATAAATTTATTGGGTAGACGACGTGGTATTTTGTGCGTATTTGATTTTGTGCAAATTTGGCGCTGATGGTAACGGTATGTAGCGGTGGTGTGTAATTGAAGTACACTACCGGACACATCTATCGGCCCACCTAGTGTTTTAAGTTTTGACGGTCCCTAGCTAATAATAAATCTTAGGTGGAGCTATAAGTTTTTATGCAGTTTTGTAGCAGATTTATTGGTATGTTTAATCCTTTGGTATGTTTTTTTTTATTTTGTATTCAGAATTATGAAACAAAACGCGACAGCGTAACGTTAATTTGGGACTATTACCTGGCTTATGCGGTACCATGTTACGTTCTTCGAACAGTTCGAGGGCACACAGATACTACATGTAAGTCGTGTAGTTGATTTTGTATCGGAACTGAAGTCAAGTGTTCTCAAGCTAGTTGTAAAGATAACCCTTCTTGTCTTTCAATTGCTACACGATTTCGTGGTTTTCCTTCACGATGAATGAAGCCGCCAGTCTCCAAGCACCTTTGATGAAGTCTTCGGACGGTAGTAATGCTGAAATTCAGTTGTGCACTCACATCTTTTTGGTTAAGCCCAGTCTATAGTAGTGCTTTAGCTCTAGCGGCTATTCAGGCCCAGTATTCAGATTTTTTAGACCAAAACTGGTTAAACGTTAAGTAGAGTCTTTTATGGAACCAATAAACAGAAACATCAAAAAAAAATCGCGAATTAAAAAAGTTTTCTGCTCCTTTGGATCGTCGAAAACAATTAACAGACTCGGATTTTCTTTTTTTTTTCATAATTAATAATTCGAAATTAAAAAAAAACTTATCAAAGGTTTGACCATTAAATCAACTTCAAAACTGAATTGCATAAAAACTTATTGCCCCACCTAACATTTATTTTTAGTTAGGGACCGTCAAAACTTAAAACACTAGGTGGGCCGATAGATGTGTCCGAATGGAAAAGTGAATATTACACTAATATTATAGATAGTATTAACTGACACGTAAATGAAAGAGCGCGTTCAAATTGGAACGTAGTAAAAGCAATCTCTTCCAATCCATTGCCTCGTCAATTTATAGAGATCAGTGCTGTTAAATATAAGGAGGCGAGCGATGTCCGCGGTCGAATCCGCGCGTCTTCTTTGCGTCTCACCTCCTTTATCCCCTTAAAAACACGAAATTTAACTAAAAGAGGAAACTAATTAGTATGTGTTCTTCCAGGCTAAGTTCTACATCTATGTCAAATTGCAGCAATATTCATGCAGTCGTTTTGGTGATACCTTCAAACAAACCTCTATCCATCCATCCAAACATTCGCATTTATAATATTAGTAAGATAGTACGCCACCGGCTACGGTATTCCATGACTCATGCAACCAGTGGTCAGGGCTGCAGAGATAAGAACTTCCTCGCTATGCGCGCGTTTCTAAAATAAATGCCTTTGTATGGTGTCCTTAATCCAACTGTTTAGCGAGAGCTTCTTAACATGTTTGTCGAAGCTCTTCACTATCAGTTCGTTCACCGATACGCCTATCGGAATGATGATAGTCGTTTGATTATTATTATTACTAGCTATACCCGCGACTTCGTCTAAGTGACATACTGTCTTTGAGTAGAATTTTTAATGTCTTAGGCTTATTATTTTACTTAAAATTTTTAAATATTTCAACACTACAACAAAACATAATAAACTTACAAAACATATTCCCTTGCAAACATCATCATCATCAGCTCGGTTTACGTCCCCACTGAGGGGCTCGGAGCCTACCCTATGTCGAGGGTACCATAGAGCCTACCATATTGCAAGTCAAGTGCTTTACCCCCGAGCCACCGAAGCTCACACCTTAAAAAGTAGCCTAACATTTACATAAATCTCACATATGTATTCTGACACAGACTTTTATACCCTACTGTTATTTTGCAACATTGAAGATAAAAATTTTATAAACATTGAACGTCATGTTTATTTCGTTTCGCTTACACGACAAAATTTGAAATTTGGTAAACTGATACTGAGCCTAAAAAGGACATGGGTAGACTACTTTTAAAAGCGAAAACAGGGTTGTAAGTGGCGTGGAAATTTGTATAGAAGTATCGGCATTTTTACAGTTAAAAGCTTTAAACTTATTTTTTAGGCTGTTACTTTGATACATTCAATGTTTGTAAAAATTTTACTCTTAAGGGTAAATATAATAAATATATAAATATAATTATATGGAATAGGGGTTGTAAGCGTGCATAGGAACATGTGAGGTTTATGTGAATGTTTTGTAAGTTTAATACGTTTTGTAATAACCTTTTATAAGTTTTAGTTAAATTATTAGCCTAAATAATTAAAATGCTACCCAAAAACAGCATTTCACGTGAGCGAAATCGCGAACACATCTAGTATTATATAAGATATTAAGTAAGAAAAGTAAGTAGTGAGTAAGGATGTATTATTGAAAAGAGATAATTCGTGATCTCAACTGCGAAGGTTTGGAACCTTTGAAAAAATTTGTAAAAGGAGAATAAAACAGAAAACATTTACTATGGCTATAAACAGAAAATGTTTTGAAACATTCGACTTACGTGTAACAGTTGTTGGAAAAATTGTTATAAGATGAAAGGGTTATCAGTCCTCCCCAGCCCGGGCTCAAAGCCGGGCATAACAATGTTTGCACCACCGCGTCTTCCCAGACCTACGAAGAAATAATTTTTAAAACACCACAATTATAAGTACTGTGCCGGAATGATTGAAAATGTAGAAACGGATGGAATGGAATTCGTTTCATCTTGGGGGTTCAAGTTTGAGGAAAATGTGGAAAATTGCGGTTGAGTCTAAGGCTGAAATTTGTAGTTCGCACTTAAACTTTGCTCTGCCTCAGCTTATACTTATGCTAACTTACGCCAATCCTATCTTAGGCTTTGCTTGGACTTTTCTTTGAATTCGAATTTATAGTCCTTATGGGCTGACCAAGTGCTATGCCAGAGCTAAGACAAATTTTGACATTGTTTCTATTCGCGTAGTATGTTTTTGGTAATTTACAAAATAAATATCAATATTTACAAAAATAATATTATATAATATTTACGAAACACGATCCTTATTTTTAACCTTATTCATTTAATCGAATAGTTGTGTTTAATTTTTAATTTACTATCTATATTATGAGCGAAACGATGAAATTAACTCTTGTATTGGTAGTCGGTAGAACGGAACAAGATTATTTGACTTGACAAAGTAAATGACAACTCAATATTACTTATCTGTTCTAGAGTTAAAGGTTAACCTTTAACTTACTTCATTTTGTTGTTGATTTTAGACGATTTTTTCGTTGACCCTGGCATAATCTTACGGACTCTCGATACTTCTTCATATATTTGGTTTTGGCTTACGACCTATCAAGGATTTTTCGATGGATAAATTTAAATGGATAGATTGGATTTTGCCTACAACAGATAAGTAATATTGATAGGCTTGGAACATCGGCTCGGTAAGAAGTTTCCTAATATGATCTATTTATTTTAATATCCAACGCTTAAAACGCACCACTACGCTATTTAAAATCGCTGTCGTATGAACAGATATGCACATGGAATGAAGGAAACTATATGCTGTTAAGTTTGCTATGTTTAAGTCATAACAGTTTGATTATTACCTGCACATTAGCTAATTGACTAAAATCAGGTGTCAAATAAAAGAGAATGCCAGTAGAAGCTCCGGGTAAGGTCACACTTCGGAAGAACAAAATCACGAACACCACATAAGGAAACAGGGCAGTGAAATAAACGACCTGTGAACAAAAATAATAAATCTGTTAAAACATCGGAAGTCAATTTATAATCGTATTCCTCTTCTTTCCATTTTCTAATAATCAAAGGACGGGAAGGGGAGGGTTACACGGTGGAGGACGTGTAGGAAAAGGAAATCTTTGGAAGTATAACTTCTTTATAAGCGAAGGGTATTAAGATTTTTCTGTCACGAAAAATCGTTACGGCCGCGTGGAGGGACTTTTTCTTTGGTTGTGTTTGGTTACGCTCCTGATTCACCGATTTTGATATTTTTTTATTCGACCGGTAGTCACGTGGTTCCACTACACTTGTCATGTGGTTAATTTTTTTTATATATCATAAACTGACAAGTAATTTTTGAGTTATTCTTAAGGCACTGTGCGTAGCAAAATGCGCTAACTAGAAAGCGTAGAACAGAACATCTAAAAGATTTGCCTAGACATATTTTTGTATGTGTAACATCAGTTCTATAACTACATTCTGGTCTAACAGAATCACGAGTGGATAAAATTTTCTCCATAAATTTAATGGTCGTTTTTACAAGGTCTTAGTTCAAGAGCGATCGTAGAAAAAACCAATGGTATATTCTCATAATATTACATATCTTCAGCATTGAGAAAATAAAAACGCACTTTCGGAATTTTGCGAAAACGCAGACCCGCGTGGTCGCCGGCTAAGTCGGCATGGGAGCGGTGCTCTCCCTTGTGTCGGTCCTGTTAGACAACGGTCTTAGAACGTGGTTCTGGCGGGAGTATTCCGCGGCGCGGCGGTTCCGTTGGGTGCGCTAACCCGCACTCAGGGGAATTTCCTTCGGGGCAACCTGTCTCGGTCGTAGCATGTCGTTGTCACGTGTAGCGGTGTAGCGGCCGGGACAGGGTCTTGTATTTAGTGGCCGGCCCAAGCCAAGGATCAGTCACTAAAATCCCGACAGTAAAGACGTTAAATCCCGTGGATACCAGCGGGCCCCCACGGCAGTACGCCGAGGTTGGTACAGAGGGCTCTACCTGCCGGGAACACCCCTTTCCCTCACACTTATGGTATTCGACGGATAATATCTATGTAAAAAGGACGAACGCTTGGGAACCGTGCCTTAGATGTGGCCGGGAATCACGTTCTCTCGTTGCGACTCGCCCATGGGCCTGGAGAGGCAGCTATCTACTGGAGAGGACTTGGACAGTCAGCTTCATAAGTACCGTAGCAGACAAAATATGCAAATATATAGGTACACCAAAAGTAATCAATTATATATAAGAACAACAAAAGTCCTCAAATTAATACATTCGCTCTGCTGAAATACATCGGTACATTCACAGCGTCAAATATATGAGTACATGCAAGGTGCTCACAAATATAGTAGCAGCCACAGCGTCATAAGTAACTAAGCAGGGAAGGTATGCAAAAATATCGTAACATTTGACAAAATTGAACTCTATCTCTATATGCTTGTGGTACAATTTGGAATATAATATTTCTGTTGAATTGTGTTCTTCTGTAAATATCGCAACAACGCGCGCGGTCGCACGAACACTGCGCTCCGTGTTATATTTTGTTTAAAAAGAGATAAAGTGCAGAAAATTAATTTACATAATTATGATACAATCAACTTAGTTTAACTTATTGTGGTTGTGACATTTTTTTTAGTGTTGTGTGCCTTTTTCACCAATTATCAGTGGACTAACAATTAATATTTGGCAGTGTCCCAGTATCGCTTAAATGTCATTATACAGAGTTATTGCACTTTATAGAACAGTACGCAAATCGCATCATTGTCGTACTGCAATTTTGTATAGTACTTTGAATTCGATTTATTCTACTCTGTGACACCTATGCTATTGCAATAATGATTTGAGACCGATGTACCCACTCTGTAAAAAAAGACGAAGTGGTCGTCTGCTCAAACTGCAAAAAGGGTTTTCACTACCATTGTGTTGATTTAACAACATCTTTTTACAACAAAAACGCTCGCGAACTAAAAAGGTCATGGAAATGTCCTCTGTGCGTCAACATAACTAGGCCCAAGGGCGACAAGACTCAAGCCAGTTTGCGAATGTCGTGCATCTCGTTGCTCAGACGAATTGAGGGTACCATTATCTCTAATATTTAATAAATCGTTGTCGCAAGGAGTGTTCCCCACTATTTGGAAAACTGCACATGTGATCCCAATCTACAAATCAGTTACTAAAAACTTATGTGAAAATTATCGGCCAATTAGTATTCTAAATAGTCTCGCGAAAGTTTTTAAGTCTACAATCTACGGTTACATTTATTTTTACTTTTATCTCTCTATATTGTCACTTTCACAACACGGTTTTGTTAAGAAAAAGTAGACGATAACAAATCTTTTAGAATATAAGAACTTCTTATGTAGCGCTTTTGCTAAAGGAGGACAAGTTGACTCCATATACACGGACTTTTCTAAAGTCTTTGACAAAGTCCCACACAACCTGCTGTGCGCAAAGTTCAATAAATATTATGGCTTACATGGAGCCTTGCTGCGATGGGTAGAATCATATCTAACAAGAAGAAGTCAGGTAGTGTTTATAAGAAATTCAAAGTCGACTTCGGTAACAATAGCGTCTGGTGTTGGTCCTCTGTTTTTTAATATATTCATCAACGATCTTGTCAGTCAGTTACGCTGTCGTTGTCTACTTTACGCTGATGACCTTAACATTTTTAACCTTATACAAGATAACCAAGATTCTAAACTATTACAGGGTGATTATAAACCATGAAAAAACTAAGCTCATGCACATAAATTCCTCCAAAAATTAAATTGTATACCATTTGTGATGAAATAAATAACTTACCACAATTAAAACAAAATCTAAGGCCAAATCAGTTACGAAATCTACCTAATTCTCCTAAATATAAATTACCCACTTAAAATAATGCCTATGGTATGCGAACTTGGCAGTATCTCATGCCGCAGCTGCTTAACGATTTGGAAAGCGCCGTGCTTGACCAAATCGTTAAGAAACCAGAAAAATGTAAAAGCATTTTGAAATCGGCACTTTTTTTTAAATAACTTATATTTATTGCAACTTGACAATCAATTGTTTTATATATCAATTCGTTTTTGTTTCGCTTTTTTGTCTTTCTATTATAGCCTGAAAAAACCGTTTAATCTCTGTTCTTTTTGTTTAACATAATTGTGAAATGGTTAATCACGTCTGTATTTGTTAATTTGCTGATCTTATAAATTAATAAGCGACCAGTAAGTACACCTAAACCTGTGGGTTTTTAGTACTCCTGTCTAACCGATGTTTTATTTGTTATGTGAAGTTTTTGTATAATAAATAAAAAAAATAAAAATTAAATCGTATTTTACTGTGGTGTCAAAATAACAAAATGGTGCTAAATATAAAAAAGTGCTTTATAATATATTTTAGTAACAAAAGAACAAAATCTTAATATCCATATAAACTTGATGGTCATTCACTAGAACACAAGAATATAATCCGAGATCTCGGGGTTATTTTCGATGACAAACTAACATTTCGTCAACATGTCGAACACATCTCCAAGAAAGCATATCAGCTAATAGGTTTCATCTCAAGATCAACAAAGGGCTTTTGTAAATATCAAAGTTATCTAAGTTTATATAACACCTTAGTTAGAACAGTCCTCGAGTATGGATCTGTCATTTGGTCGCCATCATATATTATACATTCTACTAGATTAGAGGCTGTCCAAAAACAATTTCTTAAAAATACTAAGCTATAGAACGGGACATGGACGTTCTTTAGGATCTTACACTGCAAGATGTAAAAAATATAACCTAACTACTTTAGAGATAAGTCGAAAGCGCCAAGACTTATTATGGCTTCATAAATTTATTCATTCGTCTGCTGATACACCTACTCTTCTAGCCGAAATCGACATAAACACGAGGCCCGTAACTAGGTCTCAAAAACCATTCCCACTTTGTACTTATAAAAACAACACTTCCTATTAAAACCCTATTGTTAGAATGAGACGTCTATATAATAGTACATCGAACGATCTAGACATCTTCAATCCTAAATATGTGGTCTTCAGAAATGCTGTGTCAAAAATACAGCAATAACAATGTCTAGTTGTCCTCATCCCTCTAACCCTCATAATTGTAACAGTTTAAATTTAAGTATACGTAATTAATTTTTTAAGTGTTTAATCTGCTCTTTTCATCCTTTTTACATTTGTATAATAATTAGATCCTAGATTCTTAATATTACTTCATTTGTTTGTAAATATGTAAATGGTGTTAAGCTGTATTGTGTCCCAATTAAAGAAAAATAATTTAACACTCTATATGAACATTATTTTCGTTCTGATGTTCGATAAGTAGCTTAGAATAGACTGTAGTTGAAGTGGATTCGTTTTCAGATTTCCAGCAGTATCAAACGTGACAAAAATTTCTATATTGTGAATATTTTCATCTCTTTGGTTGATATAACAACTAATTTTGGATATTTTTGCCGAAAGGTATAAGATGTTTTGGTATAGAATGGTGCCAATATAACTAAAAAATGTATCCAAAAATTTAAGAGAACAGGGTTTCAATTCTATTTAAAAATCGGCGCGAACTTACTGGGCAACCCAATATTTTTATTTTCCTGTCATAACGCTTAAATATAAAAGTTTGTCACGCCGAACATGACAGATACGTTATAACTAACATGAAATTTTGCCTTGTCACCACATATATTAGTTTGGGCCAGTATTCTAGTATTAAATTATTCAAACTTTCGTGAGACATTATACTAAACTGATATATAAACACGGCTAAACACTTACGTGACACACTGCGACAGTGAGCGCCGGGCCGCGTCCGTGAAATAATACTAGTACCACTCATCCTGATGAAGGGGCCCCGATGGGCTCGAAACTAGTAGGTGCCGCCACCGGACGAATATACGTGAGTAGTTTAGCTGTGTTTATATATCAGTTTAGCATACTTGTATGTTCGCCGTAATACGTAAGTTTACCGGTTCGAATCTCAGGCAACTTATTTTTTTTTCAATTTATCAATTACTTATACAAGATTATTTTGTATTACCTGAAAAAAATTGGTAATGTAAAATTTTACTCGACAATTTTTTTTTTATTTTCACTGTTGAGTATAAAGACATTTAAATAAAGTTAAAAACAATTAGGTTAGACCATCGCGGGGTGAAGTGAGTGGGCGGAGGGTGGATTGTCATTGCGGGTTTTAGTTTTATAAATAGTATTCGCGGAACCTATACGTACAAGTGTTGTCTATGCGTCTATGCGTGCGTGCCCACGCACACTGGAATGTTTATTGCAATCGACCAAATTGATTGATTTAGTTTGGATATTGACATTCAGTTTGTTTTTTGTTTCGTAAATATAATCAGTATCTATCAGTAAAAGGTAACGCGATACTTTTACCCGTACCATTTATCTACTCATGTGGTAGAACTAGGCGTAATAAATTTATACAACATTTATCAATAACAAACATGAGTAATAAACAAAATACATGTCAATGTCATCATCTTTAAAATGAAAGGGACTACCAAAGCTTCATCTCCTTCATTTTGGTTTGAAATTGAAAAGTACTTTAGCCTTCGAAATCATTAGATCAAGGCAATATCAAAAAGTACCTAATAACTGCGGCGATAGAGTTTAATTATGTACATGTAACGCTTCCGACAGTAACCGTCTTAGTGCCATACATTTTTTCGCAATTTATGTGAAAAATGCCAATGATAATTACTCTATTTTTTTTTGATATTTTAAAGTAAGAGAAAATAATGTGTAACTTTTGAAAAAATGTTTCAATTTTCAAAATTTTTTCAAATTGTAAAACAAATTACTCAATAACCCTCAGCACTGCCGCTGGCGGAACTCAAAAACACATCGACGCGTGAATCCATACCGCGCATCTGGCACTTTTAGATAACGCACACGCAGGCGCGCCTTGGTACTTAATTTAAACGGTTAAAGTTAAAAAGCTTAAATATTAAAAAAAAAGAATTAGTGGCTTGGGGTTTGAACCGCCGACCTTACGTACAATGGCGGCGAACGGTAAGGCCACGAGACTAAACTAGCAGATACGATGACAAACTTAAATTTGATGTTGGTTTTATCTATCTAATATCTGTTATCCGGGACAAAAATTATAGTAAATTTTGAAAAATGGCTTGATGTAAAGTGTCAAATGAACAGAAATAGTATATTTAAAATTGTACCACAGAATTATAACTATAGAGTTCAATTTTGTAAAATGTTACGATGTTTTTGCATACCTTGACTGCTCAGTTATTTATGACGCTGTGTCTGCTACTATATTTATGCGCACCTTGCATGTAGGTACTCATATATTTGACGCTATGAATGTACCGATGTTTTTGAGCAGAGTGAATGTTTCTATTAATTTGAGGACTTTTGTTGTACTTATATATAATTGATTACTTAGGTACATACATAATTGGTGTACCTATATATTTGCATATCTTGTCTGTTACGGTATTTATGAAGCTGACTGGACAGTGGCAGCTGCGCCTCTTAGGAGGCAATCGGTGGAGGCATGCGCTTGAGGTCGCACTCCCCAGCCAACAGGTTCTGGCGGAAGTGTTCGCTGACGCCAGAAGAAGGCTTGGCAGGCGCCAGAACAACGGCGCCGCGAAAGAGGGGGCGCGGACGCCCCATTACAATGAGCGAGTATGCCGGCCTCGCGAGGGCCAAGGCGGAACTGAACGGCCGCAGCCGTTGTTACACTGCCAGTCAGTCAGTAATTTTGACCCATGACTTTGGCCGCGAAGAGTTTAAAAAATTTTACCTCCCTTTTTTGACCTTTATTGGACAAATTAAAAAAAAGCTTTAATGACATAGTTAGTTATCTATTCTCAAAAGATTTTATTTCATTATCAAGTGATTGAGCTATAGAAATAACATCTCGCCATAAAACATATGGACCTTACCCTCAGATCTTTAGAAGATGAATTTCTCGAAAGTAATTTCAGAGCGTTCAACTACGTACTAATAGAAACCCTAACGCAAAATATCAAGGGTCTTGGTCTTGTATCTATGCTATGAAAAATATCTGTACGTACGAACTTAAACCCTAATTTTTTAACCTTTGGAGATCAAATTTGAAAAAAGCTTGAAAGACGTAGTTAATTATTTGTTCTTAAAAGTGTTTATCTCAATTTTCAAGACATTCTGCTGAAGTAATAACATCTCTCCATACAAACTTTAGACCCCCACTTGAGACCTTTAGAAGATGAATTACGCAAAAATATTTTTAAAAGCTTAACTACATAGTAATAAAACCCATATGCTAAATATAAAGTCTCTATGCCTCGTATCTACGTTATAAAAAATAACTATAAATACGAACCCCTCATTTTTTGACTTTACAACTATAAATTTGTAAAAAACCTGAAAAACGTAGTTAATTTTAATGTTTATGTTGAAAGGCATTTATTTTAACTTTTATGAAATTCATCCCAAAGAATAACGATGCTCTATACAAACTTTGGACCCCCATTTTGGATCTTTAGGGGATGAATTTCCCTTCTTAGTGAACCCCTACTAAGTAACAGAGACCTGTATGGAAAATTTGAAATCTCTAGAACATCTGGGCGTTTTGGCTGTTTGATAAGTTGAGTCAGCCTGTTTACTCTTTTATACAGCGTGTCCCAAAATTCAACGATAAGCCGGTACTGGTGTATAGCCATTTCAAGAACTACAAATATGAACATATTCCTGCTTTTTTTTATTGGCTACCTAAGTAACATAGCTATTAGTTGCAATTAAAAATGGGACCAAAACATTCGTAATTTAAACACAAAAAATAATTTACTTTGACTGTTTTCTTGAAATTTTAGGACATTTTAACTTTTGACCGACTTTGACATCCTACTGTGTAAAAAAATGTATGAAAAATACCACGGCACTAAATTACAAAAGTATGCGCAACTCATCAAAATTCTAAAATGCTACAATACTATGATAAAACCTGCGAAAATTCTAACAAATTAATTATTAAGTAGTACAGGTGATTATTTTGCTTAGATATTAAGAATATTATTAAGTATTTAAAAATGTGTTATTGGTTACAGATTCAGACAAAAAAAAACTTTATTCATAGATTTTGAGTGCGAGTGAGATAGATACTATTGATAAAGCAGCGTAAGACATTATTATCATCTCTTCGTATATTACCATCCAGGTTTTGTCTTACTTTTGTGTGTCGTGCCGGAGGCCTAATTTTAGACTCCTAATTTAGGGGAAGCGATTTTGACGGAGGACGGACCACATTGGACCTCTATCGATTGAAAATAGGCAATGCATCTGGAATTGCGGGCTATGCGCAGAGGTCGTTTCGCTATTTTGGCAAATTCATGTGGCCGCCTGCTCGTATGCCAGATTATATGATAAGATCAAAGGCTCAATGTCATTACCACCGGGGTTCTATGGATGGACATCCGCCCGATTTTCTTACTGAGGATGTCTTAAAGACAGTCTTTGCAAAACCACTGGCGGGAACTAACGAACTCCGTCAAAGAATCTTAGATGCTGCAGAAGAGATAAACCTACGGGGATTTAAGTAAATAGTTTGAAGGTCGTGAATCGGTAACTGAAAACACATTTTTGAATACTTGAACAAATTTTTATTATTAATAACTAAGCAAAATAATGACTTTTAGTTCTTAGAATTTTCGCAGGTTTTGTCGTAGTGTTGTAGCATTTTAGAATGTTGATGAGTTGCGCCAACTTTTGTAATTAAGTGCCGTGGTACTCTTCGTACATTTTTTTACACAGTAGCATATCAAAATTGGTCAAAAGTTAAAATGTTCTAAAATTTCAACAAAGAGTCATTAAAAATTTTAAGCATTTCAGTGAGCATCGATAAATAACAATTAGCAGAAAAATTGTAACCGACTAATTCTTACTACTGATCACGCGAAAGTATCGCGTCATTACTTATATTTAAGTCTCGATTATTTTATTTTCTACATACCTTTCCTGATGATTGGACTCCCTTGAAATTACAGAGAAATACGATTAGCCAAGCAGCGAAGAGACACACAGCCATAAACCAGCGAACTTGGCCTATTTCCTCGATTCCCGAAGATAATCCTAGAACTTTGTTACTGAAAACAAAAAGTTGTAAAGATACTATTAGTACCTAAAAAGAAGGATTCTAAATTAATAATGTTTATATTTGCTGATTGCCTGTTAACAAGCGGAATATATGTATTGTAAATACACCTTGACTGCTTGTTATCTCAGTATGTAGATTCCAGTCTAGATTTAGGCGATACCCATTCAATTCTCTATTGTTTGAAACTGACTGCATGTCGCGTGGCTGAAGTGGGGATTATAAAACCCAGTTCAGGCTCAATCAAGCACACTGATGGTGAGTGGTTTAATGTTGTCAGACGCTCAAGAATAAGCGGTCACCGAAATGGAACCTGTAGTTATTACAATTGAAATGGGCACGCTCCCAGATTTCATGACATCAGGTATAACACATCTGATGTATTAATCTGGATGTACAGTCAGCTTCATAAATACCGTAACAGACAAAATATGCAAATATATAGGTAATCAATTATATAAGTACAACAAAAGTCCTCAAATTAATAGACACATTCATCATCATCATCATAATCAGCCTAGATTTATCCACTGCTGGACGTATACCTCCCCCATGGATTGCCTTGCCTTTCTGCGGGCAATGTGGCCGGCCCATCGCCACTTAAGGTTTGCAATTCTTCGGGCAATGTCGGCTACTCTGGTTCTGCTGCGGATCGCATAATTTCTGTCGCGATCTCGCTGAGAGACATCGAGCATTGCCCTCTCCGTTGCCCTTTGAGTGACTTTGAGCCGCCTAATGTTGCCCGCAGTGAGGGGTCACGTCTCGGTACCATAAGTCATCGCTGGCAACACACACTGGTCAAAGACTTTCTTGAGGGTCTTGGGACGAGACGATATCTCGCAACATCCCCAACGCTGCCCATCCGAGTCGGATTCGGCGATTAGCCTCCTTCTCGAAGTTGGACCTACCTAGCTGGACGGTCTGTCCCAGGTAGACATATTCGTCGACAACTTCAAGAGTGTGGCCTCCGATGGTTGTTGGAGTGGGTGGAACATGGATATTCGACATGACCCTCGTTTTATCCATGTTCATTTTTAGACCCACTCGTTCGGAGACTCTATTAAAGTCGTCGAGCATTGTACCTAGTGCCTCCATGGTCTCAGCCATGACTACTATGTCATCGGCAAAGCGTAGGTGCGTGATGTACTCGCCGTTGATATTGGTGCCTAGTACTTTCCTAATTTCCTAATTTAATATATGATTAAACTGAAAATAAATTTTATTGCATATTTTCCATTTGCAGACATCTATGATTTAGTCTCTTTTTGTTATAAGCAAAGCTTACGTTACCAAAATCTCCATAACTGACGATGAAATAAAAACAGTAAATGTCAACGAGGCTTGTTACAGTATATAAATGAAAATCGAACCCAAATTGGCTAAGCTGTCTAATAGATTAGCGCGCACAAACAAACAGACAAAAATATAACAACTATTGCGTAGTTTTGTTGTGATGTAACATGGTCTAGTTTAATTACTTAATATAAGTACCACAAAACTGTTTACATTTCCGGAAGGGGCGGCAACATTTGAATAGCCTACGGGCGTCAAATGTTTTAATCCGCGACTAGCCTTGTTCACTGAACCATCGCGGATGTCCTCCAGGTCTGCTGAAAGGACGCTAGCCGCACCCGGTAAGGCGGCTGTGCTGGTGGACCTATAGGCTTTAGTAAGCAAAAACAGTAAGGTTCACTGTTATCTTAGCAGGGCACTATGCACTATGAACATCTTCACCCTTTCGTGACAGCATTCTGAAGCGTACATATGTCAGAATATGGACATGAATAGCTTTGTACAGAAATTTTAAACTCACCTACGATGTAGTCGTGGCACGAGACATTTTGAGAATTTGTGATACCTAACCTTGATGTAGTAATAAACATTGTAATTTTAATGAATCGCAACAAGTGTTATCGTATAGTCCAGGAATCGCCTTGGAATTTAGTAAATGTTATTTTATGGCATTATTTTATTTTTCATTTATGTCAATTCTAATATGTATCTGTATTAAATAACATATACACATATTAAAAAATACAATCAGTAGCTAAAGTTAATATATTTTTATTTATTTATGCAAAATATGCTGAGCCAAAGCAGCGGTTCTTGCAGCTTAGCACGCAGCGGCTCAAATCTACTGCGTTCAAAGGAAGTTTCCGTTACGCTGCTACTCGGTGCTCGAACAACATTCCCCCGCCAGTCAAAAGCGCGCGAACAAAATTAACCTTTAAAAATATCTGCCCTATCTGTTCTGCATTGCAACGCTTAATTGTAATTTATTTGATTTTTTCTTTTTGATTGTGTTATAAGTGTTGTAATGTTTTTGAACGGATTAAATTTCTTATTATTATTAAAACATTCAAATTCTTTCGAAACTCCGAAAGTGTGTTTTTATTTCCTCAATGTTGAAGATATGTTATAAAAATATATCATTTGTTTTTTTCTACTATCATTCTTGAATAAAGACCTTGAAAGAGCGAGGGTTCGCTAGTCGCTACTTATCGCGATACACACCGAAGGGCGCGGGGGTTGGGCGGGAGCGACGTGCACAAGTCCAGGGGGTGGAAACTTAGAAGAACGACGATTTGTATGGAAAGTGGCGCCACCTTTAAAATTTTAGTAAACATCATTTCATCTCATGGCTAAAAAGAAGAAACATCATTTGTGTCATCGAGACATTCATGTGTCATCAAATCGCTACGTTTTTTCGTATTTCTATTTCTGTTCTTGTATTCTTAGTTAAATGTTGTTTCATTCATTTTGTTTTTGATTAAAATGTGTTTTCGTGAAAAACGACGCTGTACGCAACTGTGTTTTAGATGGACTGATTATGGTAAGTTAAAATTCAATAAAATTTTTCACGTTATTCCCATACGTCAGACTCATTTAAACATTTAAATATTTTCGTATTTTGGTGCAGTTTTTAGCACCACAGTGATTTATACTTTCCGGTAATCATATTGAATGGTGCCCTACTTCTAATACATTTTACATATCAGTTCCTATAATTGACAGGAAATCACATTCTGTTTGTTTGTTGTAGGTGCATATATACACGGTTTCCCCCTTCCTGAGAGACGGTCAGTGATGTTTAGAAAGTGTGTGCCAATCACTGGAATTATAGAGCCATAAACTGATGCGTCTGAAATTAGTAGGTGGGTCCATGTGTGTATATGTAAAAAATATTTTTTTTATTTGTAATTTTTTATTGTAAAGAAAATTTGCTTGCCTATGTTGTAAGAGAATATGTTCAGAGTGTTTAAACTCGCAAATAACTATTATACAAATGCCAGTTGCCAGCTTGCAAGTGACTGAAAATATTTTGGGGTTTGGTTTTAATTACAGGGTATGCATTCTTTTGTGTTCCCGCTATACTATTTATTACCGTAAATGTAATGTTCAAATATATATATTAAAAATTAAAATATTGAGCTGATATCTTGAAAGTCATTAATGTATATGTACTTGCATAGATTTAAAATTAAGTTATGTAGAAATATAATAAATAATGTACAAAAATATAAAAATATTTTGTTTTTATTTCCCCAATATAATATATTTCATTAATTAGATTCCCACTTATCAGTTATTATTATATTATAGTGAGCTAAATATGCGTGCCTACGTATATAGGTACCAAAAAAAAAATTAGTTCACCCATTATACGCATGGAGCGCCGCAATCGCCGTGGATCCACGACTTCGAGCGAGTTGCCCCTCTTTCTATAGTATACTTATAGAATATATCTTTGCACAAGTCCATCTTTGACAACGCTCTGAGGCGGACTGACGCTTGTGAGAAAATTGAAGGCGTCGGGTCGGATGCATTTTATAAATAAAATTCGATTAAAAATTAAATAATGGACGTATCGAAAAATCGTTCGACCAGAATTTAGATATGATAGATATGAATTAAATAAAACAATTAAATTTCTTAAATTAATCGTACTTTTGCAAATGCACAGTTTTTTCTACCGAAGAAGGCACATTTTCAAAAAATAAATTTATCGAGAAAATTGCATCCAATCCAAATTCTGTTCGACCAGAATCTAGTTAAAGGACTAAAGTAGGTATTTTTAGATGTCTTGTTCTACGCTTTTTAGTAAGCGCATTTTGCCTCTGACAGCGCCTTAATCGCATTGATCACTGAGACATCATTGAATATTTGCTTCCGCGTCGACATGATAAAGTCTATTTCATTTTTTGTAGCAAAGTAGCTCATCCAGGTCGATTTTCTTTGCTCTTGCTTTTCATCATGTAGAGTCCCTCCTTTTCCATAAAGCCGGGCAGCAATACGAAAAAGTCCATATCCAAAATTACCCACTCGCAGCTCTCCTCCGTCTCGTTTGCCCAGTTTCGCGTTAACGTCCTCCATGACAGCAGTGTAGAAGGTTTTTGAACTGTGTATGGCTCGTGAGATATCCTCATACATAGTTTCAACCTCTTAGACCTTCAGCGAATACCGTTTGATTATTCTGAGTATAAGGTACGCCGCCCTAGTCGACACACCACGTTGTTCACGAGGGCCTTGTGGATGATAAACCCGACACCTCCTTGCGACTGTTGGTCGCCTTCCCGGAAGAAGAACAAGTTGTTCTCTACGGACTTCTGATAACCCAGCTCCGCTATCCTGCCATCCATCCGCAATGTACCCTTGTTTATTGTTGCCAGGGCCAAAGGTCGTCGTTTGTGTTAGCCGGATCCGAACCGGGGATTCTTAGCACCCCCTGCCTCGACGTTACCCTGGTCGCTACAGTAACCAGGAATGGCGAGGCCGCCGAGTACTAGGGGCCGTGGTCGTTTTGTAACCATCATTGGGGGGGTTGTGCCAATAATCGCCACGCTTGGCAGGCGGGTTGGCGATCGCAGTAGTTCCACCGTAACCTTGGGACGCTGCTGCCCGTCCTCCGGTGGTCTGGACGCAGTTTAACGACAATACCCGGGTCCTGTTAATTTTAATGTTATGCGGCAAAAATAATAGACGATTGTGCTTCCTATAATGCTAATTACTTGGTGTATTAGTTTAAATTCACAAATATAAATAACTAAAGAACTATTATCAAATATGTTTGAAGATTGTTGTTCGATAAGACCGCTTTTCCATGTCGTCGACACTTCAAGCGCCTATAGTGTTCTAATCTGCATCATGGATTTGGTGAACATACGCTCTGCTATTGCTATACCGCCCTCTACACAACAAAAAGATGGCGAGAAATAATGTATCGTGTTTGTTTCAGTATTGTAAAATACTAGCTGTCGCCCGCGATTCCGTCCGCACGGAATTAAAAAAAAAGTTAATGATTAGCGTGTGTGTTCTTCCAGACTATGTTCTACATCATTAGTATGATAAACAATACCTACTTTGTGCTACATGCCCGCAAAAGTATGATATTGGGTACTTGAATATAACTGAAAAACAATTTTATCATTAGATACTGAAAAAAAAACTGGTTATGTATAAAGTGCAAAAAGTAAGCACCCGTGTGATGCTTCAAGACAACTAAACATCCTCAACGGCCGCTATTTTGGTCTGTCAAAATCAAAATATAAGGCTTTGAAAACGGATGCGTCTCCGAGTAATAGCACAAGCGGAAATGAGTTAACTTCTTTACGTTGACATAGAAGTTTGATTTTGTTATAGCTTAAAGTTATTATAGACCTGAGAGTTTGATATGAATTTCAATTTAATACCTCTACCCGTTAATGACAAAAGGGGGTATTTTAAATTATTGAAAATATTTTATTAATGATGTCACTAAACATTTACTCTTTTCGGAATTTATCCTTTATACGTGCTGTAAAATATTACTTATACCATGCAGTACACAGATTCATCATAAGTCACAATAAAGTCTAAATTGTCTGGCATTCGTAATCTTCAGGTCAAGTGGTACCTTTTTATCATTTTTAAACACATAAATAAACAACTATTAGTATATTTAGTAAGACTAGGACTGACTTGCAGTATTAATCTGAAAGGGTCACGTCCGTTACGCTGAGTAAACATTTCTTTATGCTTCCGTACAAACATACATATTTCATATAAATATAGTGCAGGCAATGGTAGGAAGCAAAGATTTCTGAACGCTTGTCGACACGATTCTTGTGGGTGCAGACCCGCACATCGCTCTAACAAACTTACTACAATACATCAGTAAAAACTATATCCGAATCGGTTTAACCGCTTCTGAGATTAGCGCCCACAAACACAGACAAATCGACAAATTTTTAACAATCATGGGTTTAAGTTTTCCGCCATCAATAAAGGCCCCTAAAAACAGTTTTTCGCATGTATTCGATTTAAATAAACCTACTATTTTTAAATGTCAAGTAACACTTACTACAGTATAATAATGGTAACTAATCCCATATTGGTTTCGCCGTTTTATGGATTAGCGTCCACAAACACACAGACAAACGAACAAAATTCTAACCTTCATTAGTTTAAGTTCTCTAAAGTATATAAAAGACACTGAAAACAGATAGTGTTGCGTTGTTGTATCTAAATCAAGAGGTCAGGAGGGGCGGCGAAATTTGAACAGCCTACTGGCTGCAACTGTTTTAATCCGACACTGGTTGCAAGCATTTAATACTATGCAGGTGCGCGCTGCGGTTGCATCTTTAAGATGCGCGTAGTTTTTAATCTTTTGATATCTTCTAAACTAATGGTCAGTAAAATTAAAACTTTATACTCTAGTCGACAAACATATTTATTTGGATAAATATTCATACTAAATACAATATAATAGCGCCGTAAACTTACGACGCTGTTGTTCGTATGTATTTTAATCGATGTTTCTTCAGAATAACATGGTTATTGTGAGACATCCATAGATGATAGGTAAATGCTACCAAAGAGATTTATGTAGCAAATCTAAGGATCTAGAATTCGTTCACACTTCATTTTTATGGACGTCATATACCTACTTTGACGTACGTAAGCGTAGTTTTATTCTTACGACACCTCTTAAACTATTAGACAGATTTATAAAGTTCAAAGGGCAAATATAATCTACAATAAATTCTCTTAATACCGAACTCAAATAATAACGTCGGAAGCAGCGCATGAATTTAATTGATGTTTTTTCAGAAAAAAAACATTATTGTAAAAAAACTATATAATAATAGATATATATATATATATTTTTATATATATATATATATATATATATACATATATATGCTATCGCTAGATATATACTTTCATTTAGCAAATTTAAAGAGCTACAATTTGTTCTTACATAATTTATGTAAGTCCTACTAGTTTAGGCTACGGAAGCGAAGAAATCAAAAATGTCAAAATCTACTAAACGTCTAGTTACTTTAAAAATTAATCAAAAATAAAATTGGACACACATCCAAGCAAAAACTTTTAATCAAAATCGGACGAATTGATAACCTTTTTCTTTTTGAAGTTTGCTAAAAAGTGAGTGTTAATACATAGTTAGTGTAGTGTAACATACATAGTTTCAGTGTTTAAATTGATGATTTTAGTAAAGTAGCAACCAGTATTACCCCGAGTGGGGGTGTTTAGCAATAAAATGATAAAATACCATGATGACAGTAATTTAATAAATAACACTTACGTGAAATATTCTTCTGTAGGAGGTTTTCTGAGAGCAACATCGGCAAGTGCGGCTGTGTCTTGTAGAGCGGCATAGCTTTCATTAAGACATTGTCTTAAGTAATATGTTCCATTTTTTGCTTTACATTCATCCGCTTCTTTGTACGAATAGCAATCTGAAATTATTTTTAATAATATCAAGTTAGCAAACGAAAACTAGGAAAGTTTGGAAAAGTCTAAAACATCTGATTTCATTTTGTCATACAGATATTCCTTCCCGGTGATATCCCGTCTATTACTCATAGAAATAAAACTTTGTAAAAATGGTTGCGTTTATTGTTAATTCGGGATGGAGATATCTTCTAAACTACAAGCATCAAAAGTATCTAGGGATCAAGTATGTACATACTTGTATGTACATGCTTGTATGTACATACATAAACTGAAGAGATAAAAATAACCTGGTCATTGAATTGATATTAGTTAGTGAACAATAAGCTATGAATTACATAAACTGAGCAGATGAAAACCCTGGTCATTAAATTAATATTAGCTTGAGTCTGAAAAGTTTGTGAAGTTCATAGGTAAAACTAGTAGGTTAAAACCCTGACGCCTATAAAATATCGAATTAATTTTGTATGAGCATTAATGTCTAAAGGTATTTTATAACTTTTTGAATTTATTGTAGTTATTTGGCTATGTATCACATAATTAATTAAAAAAAATGTTTTTGTGCGTCAACACCGCAATTTTTGGTTGAATCTCTTATTTATATATGTATGTCGTTATGAAGGATAAAGTAAGGAATATAAAGAAACAATTTTATTTACATTGTAATTCAAAATCAATAATCACGAAATTTTCGATTACAAGTTCTATGAGAACAACCGACGAAAATCGAAAAAAAATCTTAATCGATTTTACTCAACCCTTATCTAGTGAATTGTCAATTGAATTGTCAAACTAATCTATACTACTCAAAACAAAATAAGGGCCATTAGTTTATTTGCATTTAAGTGCACTTTAGTAAACTGAAAGTAACTGATTAGTGGATATTGATATTATGAACTCTTTGGTGTTTGACCTCTTTCATGCTGGTGTTCGTGTTCCTAATTTGAAAAGTATTGGCCATCATTTTAAGAAAAAAATTACAATAGGATGTTTCCTTATGTTTTACTTCAATTGTCTTCTTAACTTGTTCCGGTTATTATAGGAAAAAGTTTTACTTTTTCAATTTTAATTGATTCAGTTATCATCTCGCCTTAATCATGCCACCAGTACGAAGGCACATGGATACAATTACAGCAACCAGAGCCATAACTATGATTCAAGAAGGACGTTCTCGGCGTTACGTGGATTCACAGTTGTTTTTTTCTCGAAAAGCTGTACAAAATGTATGGAATCGCTTTCAAGAGACCGGAAGTGTTGCCAGAAGACCTGGTTCAGGCAGAGTTCGTGTAACAACGGCACATGAGGATCGGTACGTCCAATTAAGTGCTCGTCGTGATCGTAGAGTAATGGTCCGTAAGTTACAATACTGTTGACAACGGGTACCCGTTTCAGTGTTCAACCTATACGTAATCGATTGCACGAAGACCAGCAAATGTCCAGATGACGAGTTGTTCGAATTCTTCTGACCAGGGTTGAACGCGCAAACCGTTTAAGATTCTCCCGTCAGTATTTGAACCGGGGGATTAATAAGGGGGCAAGATTAATTTTACAGACGAGAGCAAAGTATTTTTTTATGATGATCAGCGTGTTAGAGTGTGGAGAAGACGAGGCGAGCGGTTTTCGGAGTCCTGCATCCACGAAGTTGCCCTTTTCGATGGTCCCAACGTAATTGTTTGGAGTGGGATTAGTTTACACAGTAAAACCGACCACACCATTTTAATTGCGGGTACCTTAACTGCAGAACGTTACATCGAGGACTTCATCTGGTCTCAAGTGATCCCGTTTGCACAGCTAGTGGAGCCTGGATTCATGGATTTAACAGTGGTAGAGCCCGCTTTAACATCTCCGCACAAATTAGCCCGGCTCGCCCGGTGAAATACCACGACCACACAGAAGACACGCGTGAAATGGAAGCAATTCCGCGATTCGTCTAATGAGTGTGCGTCCCTAATTTAGTCTTCTTTCCCTTCCCACCCTTTTTCTTATAAGGAAAGGATGGGAAGTGAGGTGGACTTTCCGGATGAGAGGATGCATGGAAAGGGAAAATAGTTTCTTTCTGTGTATCCTCTCCTCCGTCGATTAAAGGTAGGCAACGCATATGCAATTGCGTATGTCTATGGGCAACGGTCACTTCGCTATTTCAGCGATTTCAGGTGGCCGCTGGCTCGTTTGCCACCTAATAATATTAAAAAAAAATTCTGATTTAAGACAATGCACGTGCAAACACAACTCATTAGCAACATCCATTGTTATGCAGACGATAGTACAGGTGATGCACTGTACACGGCCCTTTTTTATTTTTTAAACCTACGACGGTGTTCCTCCTTCCCGCATGGGACGGGGCTGTGGGAACGCAATAGCACACCACCACAGCCCCGTCTGCGGATCGCCCGCCACATTATATGCGGCGGGCCCTCCTTCGGCGACGACGCCTTCAAAAGAAGGCGCCGACGTCCTTCGCCGAGGACTCCCCGGAACACGTAGGGAGTCCTACGGCACGAGACCCTTGCGGTGCAGGCGGCGAACCCCGATTCGCCGCCCGCGGGTCCCACTCACGGCGGCGCCCTGTCCAGCGCCACAAGGTGCGCCCGACGGCGCCGCCCCAGTCTCCTGCGGCGGATCGGGAGCGAGTCGACGGCGTCTTCCCGCGCCCGCTCCGCCGCTTCGACACTGAAGGTGGAGACCGCCTTCCATACCTCTTCCCTTCCTGCCATAGCAGCTGCCATGGCAGGCAGGGAGAGGTCCGTCCCGAGGACCGAGGACACGGCGGCGCGCTGCTCTGCCCATGCTGGGCAAGCCTCGCGCGTATGTTGCGCCGTGTCCACCTCTCCGGTGCCGCATTGGTGGCAGTCCGCGGTGGGCTCCCTTTTCACCACCCCACACAGATACGCCCCGAAGCATCCGTGCCCGGTTAGTATCTGCGTGAGGTGGTAATTGGGTGCCCTGTGCGGGCACTCCACCCATTCCCGCAGGACGGGCCGGATCGCTGCCACCAACTGCCGGCTCGGTCCCGGGGACTCCAGCTCCTCCGCCCACCTCCGGAAGAGGTCGTCGCGAGCCTCCTCCTTCCACTGCTTGACCTCCAACGGATGTGGGCGGAGGTCACTCTCTTTCGATCGCCGATAGACCGCCGCGAGGACCTCGGCCTCGAGCGCCCACGGCGGGCTACCAGCGATCATGCACGCCGCCTCGTATGACGCCGTACGATACGCCCGAGCCACCCTCAGCGCCATCACCCGCTGCGGACGTCGCAGCAGGATGAGGTTACGGGCGCTGAGGGATTCCGCTCATATGGGCGCCCCGTACAGCGCCATGGACCTAACCACCCCCATGTAGAGGCGGCGGCATGCCCCTCCGGGGCCGCCCAGGTTTGGGAGGACCCTTCCGAGAGCACCTGCGGCGGCTACCAGCTTCGGAGCCAAACGCCGGAAGTGCTCTCGGAAGACCCATCGACCATCGAGGACTAGTCCTAGGTACTTCATGGTACCTGCGATGGCGATGGGTGTCCCGGCCACCGTTATTTGGGAGCCTCGAGGCGGCCCTCGCCGATGCCCGTGGAATGCCAGGGCCTCGGACTTGTTGAGAGCCACCTCGAGCCCCAGCCTCCGGATACGGTGGACCACCTGGGCGACCCCCGCTGTGGCGTGGGCCATCGCCTCGCGGTGTGTGCTGCCACGGGCCGTCACGGGGGTGTCGTCGGCATAGCATATAAGGCCGACCCCCCGCATCACGGCTCCGCGCAGCACCCAGTCGTAGCCGATGTTCCACAGGAACGGCCCTAAGACCGATCCCTGTGGAACACCGCACGACATGGCCCGTCGGGCCCAGCCGTCTCTGGTGGGGTACACTACAGCCCTTCCGATGAAATAGTCCCGGATCAACCTTTGCAGGTGACCCGGAACTCGGAAGTGCTGCAGTGCCCCCATCACCGCCGCCCAGGGCAGCGTGTTGAAGGCGTTGGAAATGTCCAACGACACCGCCACCAACACGCCGCCCTGAGCGACTACCTCCTTGGCTAGACCCTTCAGCCGAGACACCGCGTCGATGGTCGACCGACCACAGCGGAACCCGTACTGCGCATCGTCCAGATGTATGTGCTCGGCGAGACGAGCAACGAGCACTCGCTCGAAGAGTTTGCTCGGCTCGCCGAGCAACACAATCGGCCGATACGCCGAGGCCTGGTCGGGTGGGCGGTCGTCCTTCTTAAGAAGGACGAGCTTACCTTCCTTCCACGAGCTGGGGAACCGGCCCTCCACCAGGCAACTGGTGAAGAGGGCCCTAATCCGCCCCCCGAGCTCGGGAAGTGCCAGGTATAGTACCCGACCAGGCACACCGTCCATCCCGGGGACGGTCTTCTTGAGGCGGAGCTTTACGGCGGCGTCCATCAACTCCTTCTCGGACACCGGCTCCACCTCGTCGTTGACCGCCCCTCCTTCCTCTTCTACCGGCAGGGCAGACCCTACCCGTTGCGGGAAGAGGGCCCCGACCACCTCCTCCGCCAATTGTGGCTCCATAGTTGTTGTAATGGGCGGAGCCCAGGGTCGGAGCTTCTTCCGCACCGCCCGGTACGGTCTGCCCCACGGGTCCTCCTCCAGCGTTTGGAGCCACTCCTCCCACGCTCCCTGTTTGGCCTTCGCGATGGCCACCTGGAGAGCGTGGCAGTCGGCTCTATACGCCTGGTACAGCTCCTCCTCCTGCCTCTGATCCCGGACTCGACGCCTTCGGCAGCGAGTGTAATATTTTTTTTGATATGAAATGTATTATATTAGAAATATGATAAATAAATGTATTAATATGAAAAATAAAAATAATATTGTACTATTTCATGTCATTATGGATAAAACATTAAGTATAGTGTCACCAACTTATCTGTGAACTGACGGGTGTCGCGGTCGTCGTTTTATGCCCGAATCAAAGAGTATAATAAGTATACTATAGAAAGAGGGGCAACTCGCACGAAGTCGTGGATCCACGGCGATTGTGGCGCTCCATGCGTATAATCGCTGAACTATTTTTTTTTTGGTACCTATATACGTAGGTACGCTTATTTAGCTCACTATAATAATAACTAATAAGTGGGAATCTAATAAATAAAGTTAAAATTGACATTAAATCAATGTTCAAAAATAATATACCCACTTATGTAGTTATTAATATAGTGAGCCGATATCAAGTAGCCTTCTATGAAATATCTCTATTAAAATGATCCTATTATTGGGGAAATAAAAACAAAATATTTTTATATTTTTGTACATTATTTATTATATTTCTACATAACTTAATTTTAAATCTATGCAAGTAAATATACATCAATGACTTTCAAGATATCAGCTCAATATTTTAATTTTTAATATATATATTTGAAAATTACATTTACGGTAATAAATAGTATAGCGCGGTCACAAAAGAATGCATACCCTGTAATTAAAACCAAACCCCAAAATATTTTCAGTCACATGCAAGCTGGCAACTGGCAATTTGTAGTTATTTGCGAGTTTAAACACTCTGAACATATTCTCTTACAACATAGGCAAGCAAATTTTTCTTTACAATAAAAAATTACAAATAAAAAAATATATTTTTTACATATACACACATGGACCCACCTACTAATTTCAGACACATCAGTTTATGGCTCTATAATTCCAGTGATTGGCACACATTTTCTGAACATCACTGACCGTCTCTCAGGAAGGGGGAAACCGTGCACCTACAACAAACAAACAGAATGTGATTTCCTATCAAGTATAGGAACTGATATGTAAATGCAATGCAAAAAATATGATAACCGGAAAGGATAAATCACTGTGGTGCTAAAAACTACACCAAAATACGAAAATATTTAAATGTTTAAATGAGTCTGACGTATGGGAAATCAGTCCATCTAAAACACAGTTGCGTACAGCGTCATTTTTCACAAAAACACATTTTAATTAAAAACAAAATGAATGAAACAACATTTAACTAAGAATACAAGAACAGAAATAGAAATACGAAAAAACGTAGCGGTTTGATGACACATGAATGTCTCGATGACACAAATGATGTTTCTTCTTCTTAGCCATGAGATGAAATGATGTTTACCAAGATTTAAAAGGTGGCGCCACTTTCCATACAAATCGTCCTTCTTCTAAGTTTCCACCCCCTGGCCCGAATTCTGAAACGTCACTCAAATATCTACTTTCGTAAGCAGTGCTTATAATTTAAGAGACGTCAAAACTTAAGTGGAATTCACAAACGCAAATCAAGACATCTAAGCGCGTGATTCCGTAAGTAGACGTAACATTTTTACGTCATGGCAACAACCTCTGTTCTGTGTCAAAGAGTATGTAGAAAATATTTGTTCTCAATTACATTTTCTTAAAATTAACTTTTTGTATCCGGTTCACGCAGCAAGGGTTAGACAATGTGTAGTTGTAAGATGAGTTTATTCCCAAATATCAAAGAATATTCAAAAAATACTGCATGTTATGAGTATTTCGTATTTTTTTTTATTTAAAGCAAAGAAGATTATAATAAAAGAATATCATATCTGTTTTAATTTTTTTAACAAAAAATAAATAATTTTGGCCGTATTTCCAATGTGCACAAAAGTTGGGAGAGTCGCCACATTTTTATTTATATTATATAGTTTGTATTAACGATAAACTGCTGTGACATAGGGATTCCATCTAAAATATACCAATATATAAATTCCATCTTCCTTGCGTAAAGACTCATCTAGATATTAGTCGTTGGCCTAGAAAGTAGGCGTAAGTAAAAGAAAAACAAAAATGTTTATTTTAGGATTTATTATTATAAAAACCACGTTTGCAATCAAAACATAAGTTGGTCAAACACAGTTTTTGAAGAATGTGAATAAATCCACTTTGTAGTATTCTCTGTTTGCCTGGTGTGCGTATTTTGGTATGTACCAGCTTCTTCTGCTGCTTGGCCCTCTTTAACAATTTTTTAAATTAGCCCTTGACTTACGCCTGTAACAAATGTATTGTGATTTATCGTGTGTGATAGAAATTAATTCATTGTATTCATATATTTGTAAGAGCTTAGTGGCGACTGTGGGTAGAGTGTCGTTATCAATAATTTTAATGATAACAGAGTCTTTTCTTTATATTTGTCTCCACTCCTATCATCATTTTGGGTAATTTACATGTTAGAAACTGGCAACACTAACCTGTTGCAGCTGAAATCCGCTTGTATATTTGATTATACGCAATGTTAGGAGCCTGCAGCCGAGCTTCTTCTTCAAAAAATGGTTTCACCTTTAGAATTATACTCCGGGAATCAATCTTTATAGCTTTCGGCAAATTTAACGCTTACAATTCAGAAGTATCGCAATAAAACACACGGAACACATGAGAGTAGTACACACTGACAGTCAAATGCAGGGGGTGGAAACTTAGAAGAAGGACGATTTATATGGAAAGTGGCGCCACCTTTTAAATCTTGGTAAACATCATTTCATCTCATGGCTAAGAAGAAACATCATTTGTGTCGTCGAGACATTCATGTGTCATCAAACCGCTACGTTTTTTCGTATTTCTATTTCTGTTCTTGTATTCTTAGTTAAATGTTGTTTCATTTATTTTGTTTTTAATTAAAATGATTTTTCGTGAAAAACGACGCTGTACGCAACTGTGTTTTAGATGGACTGATTATGGTAAGTTACAATTCAACAAAAATTTTCGTGTTATTCCCATACGTCAGACTCATTTAAACATTTAAATATTTTTGTATTTTGGTGTAGTTTTTAGCACCACAGTGATTTATACTTTCCGGTTATCATATTGAATGGTGCCCCACTTCTAATACATTTTACATATCAGTTCCTATACTTGACAGGAAATCACATTCTGTTTGTTTGTTGTAGGTGCACATATACACGGTTTCCCCCTTCCTGAGAGACGGTCAGTGATGTTCAGAAAATGTGTGCCAATCATTGGAATTATAGAGCCATAAACTGATGTGTCTGAAATTAGTAGGTGGGTCCATGTGTGTATATGTAAAAATATATATTATTTATTTGTAATTTTTTATTGTAAAGAAAAATTTGCTTGCCTATGTTGTAAGAGAATATGTTCAGAGTGTTTAAACTCGCAAATTACTACAAACTGCCAGTTGCCAGCTTGCATGTGACTGAAAATATTTTGGGGTTTGGTTTTAATTACAGGGTATGCATTCTTTTGTGACCGCTCTATACTATTTATTACCGTAAATGTAATTTTCAAATATATATATTAAAAATTAAAATATTGAGCTGATATCTTGAAAGTCATTGATGTATATGTACTTGCATAGATTTAAAATTAAGTTATGTAGAAATATAATAAATAATATACAAAAATATAAAAAAAAATTGTTTTTATTTCCCCAATAATAATAGGATCATTTTAATAGAGGTATTTCATAGAAGGCTACTTGATATCGGCTCACTATATTAATAACTACATAAGTGGGTATATTATTTTTGAACATTGATTTAATGTCAATTTTAACTTTATTTATTAGATTCCCACTTATTAGTTATTATTATAGTGAGCTAAATGAGCGTGCCTACGTATATAGGTACAAAAAAAAAATAGTTCAGCGATTATACGCATGGAGCGCCACAATCGCCGTGGATCCACGACTTCGTGCGAGTTGCCCCTCTTTCTATAGTATACTTATTATACTCTTTGGTCAAATGACATTTCAACCTGTCACCGTAGTTCCTATTTTTGCCATTTCACAGATAAGTTGGTGGCCCTATAATTGTTATTTATTTTTAAAATTGTTATTCAATTTTATTTTTAAATTATATTTTTGAGTAATGGTATCCCATCTGTAAAAAGTTTGTATAAGGCCCTTTCGGTCAGAATGCTTTCCTTTTCCCGTTGGAGAGCTGCAGAGATGGTCGAGCTAAGGGTCATGTAAGATAAATAACCTATTGTAAATTTATTTTAATACAATGTAATGAATAACTGTATTTGTATCACTGTTAGTACCTGGATATTATACAACATATTATAATATTTGAATCGACGATTACGCCATGTCAATACTAACAATTGTGTAATTTCTGTTTTAAAGATGGCAGTAATAAATTCAATGTAATTTGTAAATTATTGTTTGATTTCCTATTTAAATTATTATAATAAATATGTTTCATAAAATTGTTCTTGGTTTCTGTTCTCATCTATGGTCTGATCACCGTTGCCAGATACACTGTAATTACAGCAGATTTACTGTATTTTCACACGATCTACTGTCTACTGTAATGCTAAAATTACAGTGTATGGAGAGCAATGTTATTTTCTACTGACAAAAATCAAAATAGTTTAATGTAAACTGAACGCAGCCTTTGTGAAAAGAAAAAATAACATGAACATGACAAAACATAACTGACTACTAGAGCCCGCGCCACCTCTGCATATGTCAAAACCCTTGTTACTATTGGAATAAGAACGAATATCTCTTACTTTAAACGGGCATGATAAGCGGCAGCGGTGGATACTACGCGGGAATTGCCCGTCATAGACTAAAAACCACTTCTTAGCATTAACAACCCAAATTGTGCCAACCGTGTTTTAACTTTGTTTTTTAAGGATTTGAGAATTAAAATGCCTAATTCATCTGATGATAGTGATCAAAGCGGACCAAAAAAGCAATAAAGATACATTATAAACAAAAATTCAGAGACGAGTGGTTAAAAGACAATAGTTTCAAAACTTGCAGTTTTACGTGCAGTTTGTGTTATGTGTGATGAAAAATTTATAGCTGACACGGCACCAATTGCGTTAACTTTAAACCAACTGAGAAAATGATAAAATCATTTAATTCTAGGATCTACAAAAAATAAGCGGATATCGAGCTGCATGATAGTGACAATGATTGATTATATATAGCTATTATGCTTATTCTAAATTACAAAAGGTGAAATTAAAACAGTATTTTAGTTTTTAAAAGATAATAAAAGTATATTTGAAATGTACTGTAAAATTGACTGTAATTTTTTTTACATTTACTGTAATTTTGTCATAAGCACTGTAAATTTGAGCATGAAACACTGTAATATCATTTGTCTCATCTGGTAACACTAGGTCTGATTCACTGGTAGTACAGTCGCCGTCAGATATATCGTAACGAACAAGGTGACCAAATACATCTGGACAACTTAAAATGTCAATAAATTCTATACACTACAAATTACCATTAATATCTGAACATTCATTACTTCGTAAATATCTGAACAAATGTTTGTCAATAATTTCTATACACACAAAGAACTAAAAATATCTGAACACTGACAACGTCAAGTATTAATTTGAAAATTTTAATTGAGCTTGACGTGTTCGCGTAGAATTTTCACTTGGACATGTTTTATCGTTGCCGCTCGTACCGCCATTTCGGAAAAATGGCGCGTATAGTGTGTCTATTTAAGATAGATTAGTTTGACAACTGACGCCTATGAAATATCGAATCAATTTTGTATGAGGATTAATGTGGTACTAAATGGACGGTTGTCATAGTGTCGAACCGTCGCGCACAACGAATAACTGCGAACTATTGAGAATCATTCTTGTAATAAAATTACAACTTAGAATTTATTACAATTATTTGGCTATGTATCGCACAATTAATTAAAAAAATCTTTTTTGTTCGTCAACACCGCAACTTTTGGTTTATTGACTTATTTCTTTATGTAGTTATGAAGGATAAAGTTTAAAAGTGGTAGAGCCCGCTTTAACATCTTCGCACAAATCGGCCCGGCTCGCCCGGTGAAATACCACGACCACACAGAAGACAGGCGTCAAGTGGAAGCAATTCCGCGTTTAGTCTGATGAGTGTGCGTCCCGGAGGCCTAAAATTTAGTCCTCTTTCCCTTTCCACCCTTTTTCGCATAAGGAAAGGATGGGAAGTGGAAATGGACTTTCCGGATGAGGGGATGCATGGAAAGGGATAATATTATCTTTCTGTGCATCCTCTCCTGCGTCGATTAAAGGTAGGCAACGCATATGCAATTGCGTATGTCTATGGGCAACGGTCGCTTCGCTATTTCGGCGATATCAAGTGGCCGCTCGCTCGTTTGCCACCTTATGATATAAAAAAAAAAGTAGGAATAGAAAGGTACAATTTTATTTTTATTGTGAGTCAAAAACAATAATCACGAATTTTCGATTGCAGGTTCTATGAGAACAACCATCGAACATCGCAAAAATTCTTAATCTATTTTACTCAACCCATATCTAGTGAACTGTCAAACAAGTTTATCTTAAATAGACCCATGATACTTGTAAAATATATTGTAACAATGACTCTATAAATATTGTCAGACACTTCAAAGATACTTTAAATAAACTTTACTTATTTTGGAATGCTTCATATTTATATATTATATTCGGAGGACTTTTACTATCTCAACTTTTTTTACGCAGAAGGGTATGTCAGACTCGCCAGCCCCCCTACCCCCATACTAGAATACCCCCTGAAACCCAGCAATGTTCCTTCGCGTTGCCTGATAAATAATTAACCTTAGGTCTAAAAATTAGGATCACAGTTCTATATTTCTATCTATATTCTATATCTCTATATTTATTTTTCATAACGTAGATACGAGGCATAGAGACTTGATCAGCATATGGGTTTCTATTACTATGTATTTGAGATATATAAAAGATTTGTGCGAAATTCATCTAAAGGCTTTAGGTGGGGGTCCAAAGTTTGTAATTTTAGACATTATTAGGTAGAATTCTTTGGCGCGTATGGCGCGCTTTCGCTACATTGTTAAGTGTGAATAGTGAGGGGACATAAACATCGACATTTCAAGGCTAGTGCTGCGCCAGTATCGGTGTACTGGCGCAGCACTAGCCTTACTAAAATGTGTGCCGGTGCACAGTGTCGGATTTTCCTTCTTCCTAACAGTATGAAGAGATGGTATTTCTTCAGCACATTTACTTGAAAATTGAGATAAACATTTTTGAGAACAAATAATTAACTAGGGCATTCAAGCTTAATTCGTCTTCTTCCAAGCTTTTTTCAAATTTGACCTCCAAAGGTAAAAAATTGGGGTGTAAGTTCGTACGTACAGATATGTTTCATAAATACAAGACCTAGACGCTTGATATTTTGCCTTTGGGTTTCTATTAGTACGTAGTTGAACGCTCGGAAATTACTTTTGAGAAATTCATCTTCTTAAGATCTGAAAGTAAGGTCCAAATGTTTTATGGCGAGATGTTATTTCTTTAGCTGAATCACTTTAAAATTGAGATAAAACCTTTTGTTTAATTTGTCCGATAAAGGTGAAAAAAGGGAGTTAATTTTTTTTAACTCTATGCGGCTGAAGTCATAGGTTGGAATGTAAAAGGTTCAGAGTGGGGGTTGAAACTTTGTAAGGAGAGATGTTATTCCTTTACCAGACTATTTATTTTTGTCAATTTGAATATTTGTTGGTATAAAGATAAATATGTTAAATAGGCATGACGGCATGCGTTTGATTAAAAACATAAATGTGACTCACTCTTAGTGCTCCATTCGGCATCGCAGTTTTGCCAGGGCAGCTGATAGGAAATGCTGATAAACGACACTGCCATATAATATATAGTCCACGCGATGATCACATTGTAGTAGAGCGTAACTATACTGGAGACGATGACCATGCCATAGCCGAGGCCGCGGAAGAGAGGGCAGAATCTGTCGTAGGCGGCGACTGGGCCCAAAGCTGCATACTGCCCGAAAGATAGCTCCATGAACAGCAATGGCAGACCGACTACTATCAGCATCACTGTAAATGGAATCAGGAACGTACCTGGAATTTTTTTATTCATATATGAGTAAGATAAAGATTTTCGGGAGAATTCAACCCGAAAAAATACTAAGACCGCTACGCACGCTTTACAAACAACGGCAAACAGCAAACACCAATGATAAATATGTGGATAGATTTTTTGTTTGGTGTTTGCTGTTTGTGCAACTAATCGGCGTCAGTGTTGGTTTTTCTACAGAAATCAAAGGGTATGTGACAAACGTATTTGCGGTGTATCATTTGTACGTTCCCACGTACATATACGTTTGCTTGCCGGCTGCGGAATTGCGAACGCTTTAATTACTACTTAGTGGTTATTAATGTTTTTAACCAACACTGTGATTAATCCTAAAGCCAACTTTCTTTGCTTCTGTTCGCCAAGGATCAATTACGAGAAAACGCAATGTATAAAATTACATGTAGAGATGGATATATATACTGAATTTTGTTATCGACATGAAATAATTTTGTATTAATGTATATAGAGTTATGATCAAAAACTATTATATTATCAGTAAATGCATATAATTATCATCTTATACTCTTACGTTAATTTAGTCAAGAACAACTAAAAACGAAAACTAAGTTATTAATTCTCACTTATCAATTCAAGTTTACTTCTGGAACTCAGTCGATCCTTAAAATTTGATACCCACATTGATGTGGTTTTAAAAAAGTGTCATTCGCCATTTGTAAAGGTGGCCATCTTGAATTTATGAATATTGTATTATACCATTTGATAATCATATTGATGTGGTTGTGAAAAGTATCATTCGGCATTAAAAGTGCCATTGGCTATTTTGTAAAAAAATCCACAAAAGGAGATAACAAACCAAAACAAACAGGCAAAATGAATCCGTTCAAAAATTTCGCTTTCGAAAATTTTCAGATGACATCTTTTATAATTCGATGAAATATTTAAAAGTGCCATAGAACGTTCGTTTTCAATCTATACATTATCCATAATTATTATATCTATCTACTGATACAGTTTCATACAACAAAAATTACGTTTTATATCAGTTATCAACAAATTTTTAATCACGCCAATACATCGCGCGTCACGTCACTTGCAGTCTTGACTTGTATAAAAGTCAAAGGTTTCGCAATCACGTGACTTATCGAAAGTTATTGTCAGTTCTATATATTTTTGAAGTTAATTACAGAATCGCTGCGGAGCGAATGCACTTTGTCCAGCCCTGCTGGCCTGCACTACAACGGTTCAAGCACTTGTACAGAAAAAATACAAATTGAAATTTACTGTCTGTTAGCACGTGTACGTTTTTGTGCCTAATTTTTGGACAAGCTATAAGCCGTGGTATTTTGTCTATATTTGATTTTCGCTATTTTGGCGATTATGGTAGTGGTTGGTAACGGTGGTGAGGATTCGAACTAACAATACAGACAGAATTAACTGCCAAGAAGACACAAGTTTTCCCTTTCTCCTCCTCCCCTAGAAGTTTTTAACCAGTATTGGATACAGGAACGATTGGCATAACTTTTTGTGTAAAATGGCTATTTTCTTGCTCACTGTACATTTTTGGAAAATCTGTGAATGGGGATCTTAATTCCATAAAAAATTATGGATAGTCTTCTAAGATCGTGTTCGGTTAGCTGCAACGGATGAGGTAATTTCCATTACTGCCGCGCTGAGTTTCCATCCTGTATATTACTTGTTTCGATTAGACATTTTGTGATGTTGTAAAAGTATATTAAAACAGATTACAATTTCGGTTTGCTCTATTTTAATTTAAGGAAAAATGATGTAGTAGCGTGACGGCTATAACTATTAGTATTGCTAATACCTACCCCCTCCATTGTTAAAGCAGAGATAGGGGAAGCGCCACACATTGCCCAGGCCCACGCTGTAACCCAGCAGTGACAGCAGGAAGTTGAAGCGGCCCGTCCAATTACCGCGCTTCGTCTCGTTCTCGCCACCGTGATCCTTAGGTCCCTTTTCATACCCCTGTATTGCAAAAAAAAAACAATATTAATAAAAACATTACAAATAAATCGCAAATCTTTTTTCTGTTTGAAAATTGTTACCCGGGGGTAGTTTAGTTTCCTAAGTATTAAGGGTCAGATGTTCAACCCCTCCCATCACCCTATGATGGGCGAGCATTTCCGCATACTTCACAAGCTTTGGTGCCAATACTCGGAAATGGTCGCCGAACCCCCAATTGCAGTCGAGGACGAGACCAAGATACTTCATGGTTCCCCCAACAGCAATGCCGCTCACCACGATGGATCCTGTGAGTGTGTGGTTGTGTGTGTGTGTGTGTGTGTGTGGATTTGTGTATTAGTTGCTGTATGTATTTCAGAACGAATTACAGAATATATACACATATTATATCTATTAAGTATTATATTGTAAAAGTAGCTCACAATCGTAATCAATGTATCTAAGTGTAATTAAGGTCAAAAAATTAAAATCAATGTACTTAAGATCATCCAACCACTTCTTTATAGTTTACATAAGTACATTTTCTTGCATCTAATTTTGAACTTTTTATCTACCAAATTATTACATAAGGGGCCAGGAACTTAAAATGTCTCATAACTAGTGCGCGCTTTACAGCCTGCGAATTGAATATGTTTGTCCTTTTGCTTCGTGCTAGGGTCATGTTCATGTTATTTTTATGTTTGACGCTTGTAAATATGTATTAATAGATGGTCACACCGTGCGGGTGGCAGAACGGTAGGATTTTGTCTACAAAAGAGGTGGCGTGAGTATACGCCCTTGCCATTGGTCGAGGATTATTATTTTTCTCCAACGGTACGACGCAACGCTTAACGAATTTGTCTTAAGTCAGTTACTCTTTGTGCGCGCGTCAGTAAAGTGGCTAGCAAGTTGAGAGACAGTAATTCAGTTGAAATAAAAGAAACACAAAAAATATAGTTACTGTCTTTCCTTGGTAAGAGATATAAAAACGCGTGTTTTTATTTATACTAAGATGATTATATAGTTAGAGATCTTATAATATAATATAATCAAAAAATAATAAAAAAGAAAGAAAATTTAATTGTTCTACGTAAGCTATGTGCTTTACTATACTAAATTAGTATTTCGAAAACGCAATTAGACGAGAGAAATCAATTTAAGAAAATTAAATTTTGAAAAGATTGGGTCCAGTAAAAGTTAAATAAACATCAAACATAGGGCTAAATAAATGCTATACACCATAAGAAACAGAAATTACTGTTTTCCGAAAGTTAAAAAAACAATTTTAAAGGAATTAAATAACAACTGTAATATTGTAGCAAGTAAAATTTTAAAAAAATCTTTTTTAAGTCTGTTGCTGCTTTCGGTAATTATTTTTAAGTTAGTTCTTGGATATCGCGTCATACTTGTCAAATCCTTTTATTTGATACCCATGTTGTGGGGTTTGTGCAAAAATGTCATCCGCCATTTTGTGACAGATCATCTTGGTTTAACAATGACTCTTAATGTAAAAATGGCTTTTCATCAGGACTAAAGCTATGTACCAAATTTCAAAAAGTTCTGATAACGGGAAGTGTGTACTAGAGACCCGTTAAACTAATATCCGTGATAATCCTAATAAGACATTGTTTTTGTAATAAAATGATGATTTACCTATTATGTACTTTCTAATTATATTAAACTTAATTTTATGATACAAAAAAGCCAAGAGAAAAGACAAATAACAATTCATCATCAGCTCACTATACGTCCCCACCGAGGGGCGCGGAGCCTAGCCTATTTTGAGGGTGATATAGGCCATGGTCAACCACGCTAGCCAAGTGCGGGTTGGTTGACTTCACACATATCTTCTAATTTCTTCTTAGATATGTGCAGGTTGCATCACGATGTTTTCCTTCACGGTAAGAACGGTCGGATAAATGTTAGTACATATGTATATCGGAAGTCGAAAAACACATTGATACATGGCGAGATTCGAACCCAGGACCTGCAGATTGCAAGTCAAGTGCTTGGCCCCTGAGCCACTGACGCTCCAAATAACAATAATTTCACATATTTATAGTAATTCCAGTGTGGACGGTAATTGTACCCAAGGGACGGATATCTGTCTTGGGTGGAAATTGAATTTTGGCGGCCTTTTTTGTGAACCTATTATTTTAATATTTGATGTAATACACGGTTAAGAACCTTCCGATCATTTAGATAATATTTTCAGGTTTAAAATGAATATACTTTCATATATTTTAATGTTCAACAAAGATAATTAAAAATGAGTTTTGTGGGTCAATCCGTAAAATGGACCTAAGGACTCCTCTATACGAAAACTAGAATCTTCATCTCAATCTCTCACTCATTAGTTGCTCTAGTATTTTTGGGCTGTTTCTTAAAAAAAAACCATAGTGTAAGTCAATATATTGTGAATATAAAAAATATTATTTTATTAAATTTAAAGTTTTGATTGTAAAAAAATAACAATTTAATCTAGATGAATATATATAAACATTAAAAAAAGTCAGGTTAACAATGTTTTTATCTTAAAATATTTAATTAAAATGGAAGGAGTTAAAATGTTAAAAAGTAAGTGACCACCAAGCCAACATTGAGCTTTTGTCTTTTATACCAGACAAGACAAGACTGCTAGTGATACGACGCGCGATGTAGTGGACTGTTTAATTTTTAAATCGTTTCATTTTGCCTGTTTGTTTTGGTTTGTTATTGCTTTCTGTAAAAAAAATACAAAATGGCGAATGACACCTTTAATGCCGAATGACACTTTATACAACCACATAAATATGGGTATCAAATGATAGGTCTTGATTAATGCGATGCAATGCTCTATACTATAAACTCAAGGCCACCTTAACAAAGGACACTTTTAACCTCGCCAATGTGGGTATCAAATTTTAAGGATCGACTGAGTTCCAGAAGTAAACTTGAATTGATAAGTGAGAATTAATAACTTAGTTTTCGTTTTTAGTTGTTCTTGACTAAATTAACGTAAGAGTATAAGATGATAATTATATGCATTTACTGATAATATAATAGTTTTTGATCATAACTCTATATACATTAATACAAAATTATTTCATGTCGATAACAAAATTCAGTATATATATCCATCTCTACACGTAATTTTATACAACTTTGCTTAAAAAGCCAACTAGTCTTCTTGACAAGACAAGTCGTGACTACGGACGTCGGGATAGTGTTGTGCCATAACTTATTGTTTGATTTGTTTTATTGTTTTTATTTTTTTTTTATTGTTAGTTGGTAGGAAAAAGAACGAAGCCTAATACGAAATCAAAATTTAGGGAGTGTTTTTAATTAGATAATCGTTGAAAAATTCAATATTTGCAGGTTATCGATATGACAGCTGCAAGCCCTATTTTTCTTGTAGTAATCAATTACGGTTTTTAGGCTTGGCTCATAAAACAAGTCTGAGGCGATTTCTTCTGGCAGCGAAAAGGTTAAACTTACATTCTCTCATCTAAAATACTAGTCAAGTGCGAGTCAGACTCGCGCCCCGAGGGTACCGAACAAACCTGTAGGGTATATGTAAAAGTTCACCTATCACTACAATCGAGTCATAGTTAAAAAGAGTAATAAGTTTATAATTTTTAAAAATAATGTGTTATATAACAAACTTCTTAAGGTTTTCAGAATTTTTCCTTTAAAGCAGTCTCAAAAAGGTCTCCCTCTCACTGGAGAAGTATCGAGTAGTCACAATGAAACACTGGTTATATCTTGGTGCGAGTCAACTTTATTTAAATGCGATCGGCAAGTCGATAAACATACCAAATAAATCAATATCGTGATCTAATAATATGTTCCGCCATCTATTGATATAGTAATGTAAACTAAATTGACATAGCGTTCGACAATATGTGCTGTAACACATTGTTTCATGCCTAATTTCAAGATCTCTAGGTCGACTGGAAGTACCCTTTCACGCAATTAAAATTACTAAAAATATTTTTTTATATGATGGAACTAACATTTACGGTTTTCGCAATTTTTCCTACACTTACAATGTTGCTTCGTGCCAAATTTCAAAATTATAAGTTCACGGGAAGTACACTGTAATTTATGATTCCCTTACGAATATCGATAATTTGCGTAAATTTGCGACATAAACGGTTGTATCTTTTGTGGCTTAGAAATTTATTTTTCACAGTATTAAGCTACCGCAGACCTGAATATTTGATATAAATTCCAGCTGGATACCTCCACGCGTTTTTGAGAAAAAGGGTCTTGACAGACGGACGGACGGACAACAGGCTTATACAGCGGCTTATACAGGTTAGAATCCTTAGCCGATTTCTTAATGCACGAGGCGGATCCCCGTGTAAGGTTTGGTGCGTTTGTAGAGCCTTTCCATTTCAAGTCTTTTACGAAGGTAACGTGCAACGCGACAGATTGTTATACGGAGGATGTTTCTTCGCAGGATCGGTCAGCTATCGTTTGTCTCTTTTGCACAAAATGTCACTTGGTTCGTTATTGTGAAAAGTTTCGTGCTCTCTCGATTCAAAAGAGATTGCATTGGGTCGCCGAGGCAAAGGTTTGTAGAAAGTGTCGAGAGAGAGGTTCGCATCATTACAACAGCTGTGATAAGTTTTCATGCAAAAAAAGTCATGTAAGTTTAGAAACTCTCACCATACGCTTCTTCATAAACCTATCTTCACCGACGCCACTCTTGTCACCCAGCCGGTTGGTCATCCATCATCTTCGTCTCAGCCGGTTAATCCATCAACATCTTCGTACCCCGATAGCTCTTCCATTGTAGTTACTCATAGTTATTGCCCATCCGCGAACCGACCACTTCTAAAAGTTATTCCTGTTACTTTGTCGGGCCCTAACGGTTCTTTTAACACGTTCGCCTTGCTCGACGACGGTTCTACCGCCTCACTTCTTGACGCTTCTGTTGCCGAAAGGTTAGGAATAGTAGGTAGAAAAAGTCGTATTCGTGTAGACGATGTTAGCGGTATGTCCACCGAAACCGAAGTTAGTTTTATAGACCTTCGCGT